TCTATGTACAGTTTGTCAGATCTGAACCACTGGAGAAGGTTATAAGGTTCTCTCTCTGAAAAAGAGAGAAAAATATAGATTTCTGATGTATGGTGTAGAAAATATGAACAACCTAAAGAAACCTTTCAACTCTGTGCCTCATATTTTCTAAAAAATGTTGTTGATAATTCCTTTGTGCTTACTCGCTAACTTGTCATTTCCCCATTCTCTAGGAAAGTGCTGCTGTCTTTTTATCTCCAGCAGTACAGATGACAGCTGGAAACAACTTTTCACAGATAATATACTCAATCATGAATCAGCAAATTCTTGGAATTTAATAATAAGGGTTTTTTAACTGTATCTGAGTTAATATTGAAGCAAGACATGTAAAATGCTTATATTTCAATCATGTGCTGCTGTAACTTCACTTTTTTCTTCCAAAAATAAATTTGTTGAATATTTCAAGAGATCACAATTCAGTCTTGTGCCTATATAGGAGGGAAAAGGCTGAATCAACCCCATATGTCTTTTAAACTTTTGCATTGAAAAGAAAATGGAACAAGCAAATACAAGTGTTTTTAGGTATATTATCCTTGACAACTAGATTTGTGTCAAATTATCTACTGTTCATTATTTTACTTGGTGAACTACAACTTGATTAAATCCAGTTTACCTCTTGTATTTCAGGTGAATGCAAATGCCTCCCTAACGATGTCCTTAGCACAGACTTCTTACTGCAAGAAGCATGGTTATGATCCTCAAAATCCTCTATGTGCCCATGTGATCTTCTCTGGCATAGTTGAGAAGGTAAACCAATAGTTGTGCTGATAACAAGAATACAGATGTAAACACTAGCTCAGAATTAGAGAGTAGTTTTCATCATAACATATTTTAAACTATGGTGCTAATATAATACCTGTCTCCTGAGCCTGCATATTTAATAGTAATGAAGTACTGGTGTAATGAAGGCACTTGCTTATTTGTGATGAGGAAATGGGCCCACAGGACAGTGTGTTCTCTTTCCCAGCTACTTTCCTTATGCATGGGACTCTGCTGCTGGAACTGAATTATCTCACAATCCCTTGTAAATTATGTGGCAAACTACTGAGTAAACAATCAGAGTATTGCTAAAAAGGATACCTGTCTGGTCTCCAGTTTTGGGCCTTCAGAGAGTATTCTTAGGATTTGTTTTTCTCTGCCCAGTTGTCAAGGTGATGAGAAATCAGCTTTGGCCTACAAAGCTTTATACTGCAATGCATTTGCTCACTTTTATTGTGGCAAAACATGTTTACTTAGGCTTATGCTTGCTGCAGTCAAAAGACACTTTTGACAGTTTCCAACATGTCCATAAAAATACAATAAAACATCCATGGTATAGTCCTTGGGGTTCTCTGAGCTTGGTTGTTTTCTTGCAGATGTTTCATTACCTGGCTAGGTAACATCTTCAGTGCTAGAAGCGTGTGATAAGAAAAAAGAAAAGGAAATATAACTAAATCTATTTCAACACCATTAATTATACCACTTCATATCTTCTTCTACCAAAATACACAAATTCATCTACCTGCTCTAGATTTTCACTATTTATGTAAACTTGCAACTATTCACTATTTTCCCTGTAAAAAACAGCTGCCTTAGTCTTTGATGCGTTAATTATGCCTTGTTGCCTCATATAATACAGTATATCTAACATTTTTTGTAAATCATTCAGTTCTCAGCCAATAATATGAGATTGTTTGCATTCAAAAGTACAAATACATTCACATCCCTAGCCAACCTTCCTTCACATCACATTCATCACATATATTCCTTACACATATATCCATAAATAAGTTAAGCAACTTCAGGAACATCAGACATCCTGATCTTATTCTGTGCTCAATACTGCACCATTTACTAAGCATTCCACTTATTCTCGTACATGCTTTATCTCCATCATATGTCATTCTTATTGCATTCAACAATTAATCTTCAACTCCATATTCACACAAAACATTCTGTGAATGAAGCCTATTGACTTTATCACATGCTTTCTCTAAATTAACAAATGAACAATAAACTTCCTTCTGATATTCATACATTTCTCAATCAAAAGTCTGCTCTGCACAAGGCCACACTGCTCTTCTCAAATTTCGCTCATTGTTACTTGACATACACTTTATCATACAGGATTTGTATCGTAACCCCATAGTATATTTAAAAAAAGAAAGATTTATTACAGTTTTAAAAACAAATTTAACCCCCACCCACTCCTAAAAATATTTAGTTCCTAACCCTACAAGGTCATTCAAGCAGTGACCAGAACCAAATGAAAAGTAGCATATATTCCATGAAGCTAAAGATGTTCAGCTTGCCAGACACAAAGTTTTCTAGCTATTGGTTGTGAGACTGTTGGCTCAGGGGAGAGAGTTTCATGGGAGAGAGTTTAACTAAAATTCAAAGGACAAAGTCAACAATTCCACTGGATTGAGTCCAAACAGCTGTTCAAATTCTAGCTATATGTTCTGGTACCTCCTGGTTACCCCATCTTGAGAAGGCTTGCAGAAAAATATAATGGCTAATTTGTTGTATTTTATGTTCCTGACAACTCATTTGTTAGGTTCCGAATGGTACAGAAGCTGATTTTGCAAAGACGGCGCTCTTCAGCAGACATCCTGAAATGGAATTCTGGCCAGTAGGGCATAACTGGTTTTTTGCCAAACTGAACATCACCAACATCTGGCTTCTAGACTTCTTTGGTGGAATCAAAACTGTGACCCCAGAAGACTATTTTAATGCTGTAGTCGAGTAAGTGCACAGTTTTGTTACATTACTTTTTAAATAATATTTTTGAAGCAGTGATTTATGACTCTGTCACATATGTACAGACTTGAATTCTCTCTCCTTTTCATCAAGATGATTTTTAAAGTGTGTGTGGCTAAAATCCTTTACCTGCTTAATTCAGAGGGATTTCTAAGTAAAATTGCCCTATTAATCTCACTTTTGAGGAAATTGACTATAATGTCTCACAAACCTAGGGCTTACCCCCAAATGACTGATAGTTCTCTCTTGTGTGTAGATAGCCAAAATAAAATTATATGAGATTCTGTACTCACATAATTACTTCTCAATATGCATATAAGATAATGAAGTTTCTATAACCTGCCATCTATTCCATTACTGTCTGTTCTGGCTGGTTGTGGCTCTCCAAAGTCTCATGCTGAAATCTTTCTCTGCTTTGCAACTATGATCTTGCTCTGCTTTTGTCATAGAATTTTGACAGAAAAGGGCCAAAATGATTACCTCACTGTGCTTACATCCCAGCTTAACCATTTTTCTTCTTTATCCTTTGTAGGGATTAACATTTTTGGATGCAACTGAACATCTCTCCTTTCATTAGTCAGTTCCATAACAAGAAGATAAAGACACTATTGGAATGGTACAGAATCTCAAATTTGCATATTCATTTGAAATCCTGATGGATTGTTTATGCTGCGTGTATTTTTTGTGAGGAAAAAACCCAGCTTTTAAAAGTCTGAAATTTATGCCAAGAAATTTTATTGTATGAACAGATTTTTCTGGATATGCAAATCGGCATAACCTGCACAATTCATTTTGCCTTTAAGACTTGGATTTTTAACAAGAGATAACTATTTTTCAGCAAGCTTATACAAATAAAAATTCAGTTGGGTAAGAGGGATATATCCGTAAAGCAGAAGTAAAAGAAAATTTAGGAGAAGAAAAAGGGAGGCAAATAATTGCAAGCTTAAAATTTGGTGTGACCAGACATCATCATATATTCAGCTGCACTATATCTTGATTCAGAGATTTGTAATATCAATTTGGATTCAGTCCCTGCTCACCTGTTGGATGATTTTATTGTTGGAACCGACCATGCTAACAGTTGTACACCATGCTTTGATTGATTTGATTATATATTGTGTATTATATTTCATTCTCCAACCAGAATTCCATTGCTAAATGGGTGGTTAAATTTGTTAAATAAATAATAAAGCTAATGAAATGTGCAGGTAATTATATGTAATCTGAAAAGTGAGAGCCAAACAAGATGTAACTGTGGCAATTCTGTAACATTTCTTTGATGACCTACAAGAGCAGCAGAAAAGGTAAGGAAATGTGAACACTTTTTAAAAGTTTTTGCTACCATGGTTTACATAATCTATCACCTTTGTATTAGTGTATTTTGCCTAGTAAAGCTTGTTTGTATTTTAATGGCTCTGTGCTGGTCTATGACCATAATGAAGATTTGATTTGATTTGATATGAATGATTTAGCCTAAGTGAAAAAATTCCTGCACCTCTCATCCATATTCCTTTTTTTACTGCTAAAACTAGAACTTTCCAGCCCCTTCTTTCTCTAAGAATGAATATATTTCATAATATACAATACTTCAATGTGTTCCATCTAATCTGGTCCTGGTATTAAGCTTACCTCTAGCACTAAATAATAATGTAGTTTGTTTCCTTTTGCTTTGGTTGCTCTTTAGACGCAGCCGTTGAAGTTTGTAAATCTTGGTTAATGCCTTCTCTTGATGTGTAAGCCCAGTCATTCAACAAACCATGGCTTTGTTTGATGCATGAATCCAGTTAATATGAATGATCTACTACCTTCATTTATGTGAATCTCAATGCCTTATTTTTTTATGTCTCCAAATTCTGAATACTGATTAAATAAATAAATAAATAAATAAATAAAATAAAAAAATGTCAATTTGAGTAGTTATTTTAAAAAGCAATTAAACTATTGCTGTTATACCTAGAATGTAATAGCAGGATTTGAAGGAATACAAGCCAATGGTGAATCCCTCTCTGTCGAAGGGGATGGTGCTACGGTGGTTCAGCTTCTCCTCAAGAGGCCATCATTGGATGCTATGGGACTGGACGATTTTCACCCAGTCTTCAACCTTATATGCTATCCAACTGCCCAGAGTTGCTGGGAGTCGGGTGTCATATAAATGTAATAAAATTATTATTATTATAGTTGGTTGCATAGTCAGTCAGATGTTTAGACTGGGTTTGGCATTTTTATCTACCTATCAAGTCCTTCCCAAGGACCTGGGATAGGCAGATGTTGTTTGACGATATTAAAGATGTTTAGACTGGGTTTGGCATTTTTATCTACCTATCAAGTCCTTCCCAAGGACCTGGGATAGGCAGATGTTGTTTGACGATATTAAAGATGTTTAGACTGGGTTTGGCATTTTTATCTACCTATCAAGTCCTTCCCAAGGACCTGGGATAGGCAGATGTTGTTTGACGATATTAAAGGTATAATTGCAGGATACTTGGCAGGATTATTACTATTATTACTACTACTACTACTATTATCCTTTCCTTTTTAGGAAAGTTTGTAGAAAAGGTAGTAGGCTTGCAGTCCAAAAGGCCCTGGAGGAAACAGATTATCTGAACCATTCCAGTCTGTGATGTAGCACCAAGATGTGATTAAGGGCACTTGTGGACTTGAGGATGAACTGTAGTGGGCTCAGGTTGGGGGTGGTGTCTCTGTCCTAACCCCTCTTAATTTCTTGTTGGCTTTCAATACCATCAACTGGGATATCCTTTTGGACTGATTTAGAGAGTTGGGAGTAGGGGCCACTGTTCTCTGGTGGTTCTCTTCCTTCTTCTGAGCCTGGTTTAGTCTGGAAGGGTGGGGAAGAGGTCTAGCCGTAGGCCTCTCCTTTGTCATTCATGTTGTCATAGGGAAAATAATGCTTGAGTGAAATCCTATGTATCTTATTCATAAATAAGATCCAGGTAAGTGTGTATAAATGTGCAATCCTAGTAACATTTTACATAAACGGAACACAAAGGATGACATTCTGTCTCCATTGAAGTGCATTTCTTGCTTCTGATAAATGGTGTTCTCTATCATAGATCCACATGGCTCCTACCACACCCGTCTTCAGGTGCTCTTTAAAAACCTGGCTTTACCCCCAGGCTTTGGGTTAGATGGATGAACTGGCTCTGGGAGTTATGAGGAATTTGGATGGTAATTTTTGCTCCTTGAATGGATGCTGTTTTTAATGCTGGAGTATTTCTTTAAAAAAAAAAAAAGTAAAGCTGCAGAGAGTTGTTTGGAATAGGGTAGCCTATAGATCCATTAACTGAATGAGAATGTAAATATTTGGATGATGTCTGAGATGGCCAAGGTTATAATGAAAAATGAATACAATAAAAACTCACAAAAACTAGCATGAACCCAGCCAAAACCTTCTCTTTTTAATTTAGCGTATGGTTATATTCACATTTTGTTTTATTCACATAATTAAGGGAGTTATAGTCTTTACAAACCATGGAAAAGTCTGATATAAAAGAGTTAGGAATTATCGGTAACTGCCTTTACTATATTGCTATCACCTTGAGGCATAATTGGAAATACATTTAATTTATATTAACGGCTTTTCCTACTTCTTTGAATAACCTAAGTGACTTATGGATTTTTACTATGACAAATGGCATAATTGTGTTTACATACGAAAAATCCGTTTTCTGTAATTAATGCACTGTTAAATAGTATGAAAACGAACTATTCCTGGAATGAGGTTGTATTTTTTGTTTGTTATGCTTAATGTAGAGTGAACTAGATGGAAAAATTTTAGAAGTGTGAATCATCTGCAAGTATGCAGCATACTTTCTGAATCAATCTCTCTGATGTGAACCATTGATTTTTAAAAACATTTATTTTAAAAAGAAGTATTTTCCATATTTTCTCTGTGCTTATAGTAAATGTGATCACTTTTCTTTTCCTACTTGTGCCCAGGGGAGGGATCATATTGAGTAAGTCCTTTCAACAAAGTCTGTCAATGGCCTAACCAGCAGGAGTTAATGTGTTTCCATGGGGTCCATGTTTAGCAGTGTGTCCACAGATACAACTCTTGTACCTGCAAAAGTCCCTGTTTCTTCTGCAGTGACTGCCAAGTTAAGTACCCAGTTTCCAACTGCCTATCATATTTGCTTCCTGTTCCTGTAATGCCTCTAAGCCTAAGAACATTATGCTTTGGATCATTTTCCTCAATGAATAAAGTGTTTGTATAACAGGTATACATTATAGTTGTTCAAAGTATGGATAAGTATGATTTTTTGGCTCATTTGCTTAATTAGGTTGTCTTTATCTAGTTTTAGGATTTGTGTGGAGGACAGATCATATTTAGGTCATATTCGTGCAGAAAAACTGAAAATTCAAAAGGGATCACAACCTTTTAAGCACCACTGTATTTCCAATCCCTTAATAACAGCTCTGCTCTGGATCATGTGAACAGGGGGAAGGGGGTGTAAGAATGGAGCAGTTGGCAACATTTCTGAGTCATGCCCAACTGCCTCTCCCATAGAGATGCATTGGGGGACTTTTCTAGACCTGGGCCTGTTTAACTTAGTTTTTCTTTTGCCAGCTTTTCCCCCATACAAATTTGGTTCTGTTCTCTTTTTAAGGTATTATCCTACCGATCGATCCTGAATCATCACATAATTTCTTTCCAGTACTCTGTTGGGTTGGAAAGAATAAAAAGAAGGGGGAAGAAAAAGGAGAAGATTCCATTTTTGTCTGCCTTTACTTGAGATTCTGGAAGGGCTGCAGGGAAAACCTTGAAAACGGGGCGGGGGGGGGAGGAATAGTGGTGTAGGATAATTTTTAGGACTTCACTGGATTGGAGACCAGTGGACAATTCTATTGAAGTACAAATTGGTTTATTTTGGTAAATATTTGGGAAAACAAAATATTGTTTTGTTTTGTGCCAGGTGAATTCGAATCCAGTGTTGGACTGGGCCAATAAAGTAGTTAGGGCAGAACCATGAGGTAAGTGGGGCAATACTACAAAGACAATGGTAGCTTTGAGAGAACAAAGAGGCAGTATTTCATGAACATAATTTCTTTCTAAACCATTCTTGTTTTTTCCAAACCCATGTTTGTCTCCTAATATCTTCTTCCAGTGCATCAGCATTCCTTAGCCTTTGAAATGTTTTATGGTTAAAGCGACAGTTTAATTACACTGAAGAAGTATTTTGGGAGGAGGTGCTTTATATGCCTAATTTGATACCATAATTCACTGGAAAGGATTGAATGTTCAAAATAATATCCGGCTGGTAAGAAAGCTGCTGGACAACCTGGAGTAGATTGGAAAGCCAAACAAGCTACTGTGATGATGTTCCCAAATCCTGTCAGGTATTCTCTTCAGTAGAAAAATATAAATGTTGTGTTCATGGATCTTAGTGTGATGGATACTAAAACCTAAACTTCACTCCTGGCAGCCTCTAGGGATCAGGGCGAGGCAGAATTCTTGCTTCAGGTAACAAGATATTTGATTAATTGGAGGCACTGATTTGCAGTTCCCATTATGCAAGGTTTACATAACAGTGTCAAAAAGAGCAGCCTGAATCATAAAAACTTTCTTCCTTGATGTTTGTATGACCACTTGCCTTTTGTTTGTTTACAGTAATGAAGAAGTCATATTTGAAGGAACAAAGTCAGAAGGATACCAGACAATTTAGCAGGACTTCTATCACAGTTGTCATACTGTATTATGGGTGACCAAAAGGGGATGCCATATGCTGTACAACTGAACCAATTATATTTTGTAAATATCTATTTTTAAGATTGAATTACCTTTACACCTTTATGAATTAAAACTGCATTATTGTCTAGTCTATGGACATTAAAATAAGTTGAAGTGAAACAGACAATTCTACACAGCAACAGTAATAACCAGGTTCACTAGGTTTTTAAAGATTACAAAGAACCCCCTATTTGCATTCTGCAGCTTTGCATTCTGCAGGCAGACTTTGGCATGATATCTGATGCCTATTGGATAATCAAAGAAAGATACAGAAGTTATCTCAACAACCTAGACATGTTGATTAAAATAAGTGACATATGCTTTTCACAGGTCCCTGTGAGACTTACAAGTAAGGTATGGATAAGTGTTTCAGCTGCACTTAACCCACTTGGGTATGTCCATTCCTAATAAAGGAATGTAATATAACCAGCCCTCTAATGAGACCTCAGTGTTGTCCCATCTGCTTCAATCTTTTTAAATATATAATGGTATTGTGTTTTTATCCTTGTTCATTGCCCAGAGTTCCTTTTGATAGATGGGCGGCCTTGTACATTTGTCAGATAAATAGGCAAATGGCAGTACATTCAAGTGGCTCAAGAGAAGGATCTGCAGTACACAGGGACTTTAGGCAGAGAGTTACCTCTATATTAATATCCCAAGTCTGATATCTAAGACCATTAGAAAGTAGATTGTTTAGACCATTTTGCATTTTTACATTCAGAACTTGATCTTTCAGAATTTCTATAGTTTTTTTCATACCACATTCATAGCAATATTTTGATGAAAGGCCACATGTCAGCAATTTGTCTACTAAGATTTTGTTTCAGACCAACTGATTTTTTTTAGGTTTGTTAAGGGAGCCACGTTAACCAGGCCTTTTTTTAAAAAAAAAAGTAAGTAAGATAAGGTGCAAATTCTAGCTGAGAACAAAGGAAATCTGGAATGCATGGGGTGGTAAACATTTTTAAGAATGTTCAAGAACAACTTGGGTGGTAAACATTTTTAAATTATTAATATTCTTGCCATTCCTGGATAATCTATTTAATTCCTATTTGCCTATTTTTAATTTTTTATTTATTTATTCAATTTATAAGCTGCCTCAATTGTCCAAGTGGCTC